CACCTTCACAAGATACATAGTCATCTCCTCTGTACCGAACAACACGCTTTGCAGTAGCGTACTCACGCACTCTTCCCCTTCATGTGTCCTGAAATACCATTGTCTCTTTGTTAATAACAAGTAATTATGGTATGCAAATGCAACTAAAATTAAATTATTTAGATAGAGAAATACCCCTAAATGGTGTTACCTTACAAAACGAGGATGGTTAAGAAAAATAAGGACTTCATGAGAGTAAGACTGGACAACTAATTAATTCATAAACCAATTTGACTTCTTCACATACTGTTATCAAATGCTTGTCGTTCTCCTGGTGTTGCAGAAAGATGATTGGCACAGTAATGTAACAGAAGGAAGGGGAAAGGGAGGGGTAAGAAGAAAGGAAGTTAAAGGAGGAAATAACCATTGAGAAAAAGAAACAGAGGAAATATAGCAAGAGTACTTTTGAAAAATTACAAATCTCAGTCCACAGCTAGCTATGAAACTATAAGGAATCACATAATTCCTACCATCGCCAACATGAATCAAAGCATCCTTCAATTCCATTGCCTCCCAGATCCTTGCCTCTCTCAACCCTTCTCCTGGCCTCAAATTCTCCTTCACCATATCCCTCAAAACCCTCAGGCCCTCCAGGACCAACCCAGCCCCACAAAGCCCACCCACCAAAACCCCACATACTTGGAAGAGGTGTTTGCCATTGAGTGCTGTAGTGGTTAGTTGGATTGCAATCTTTAGGTGGTTTGAAAGGCAAAGGCGTGGGATTAGGAGGTTGATTTTAGTTAATTCTTCTGGGTTTAATGCTACTTCTGTGGATTGGGAGTTAAAAGAGAAAGTCATTTGAGGTTTTCTTTACTAGAGAAGGTAAACTTGAAAAGAAAGCTGCTTTTGGTGGATGGATCATGGGTGCTTGGGGGTTTTGACTTATGAGAGGAGCGAGAAGAAAAGTTAAATCTGTGACTGTGAGGGTGTAGAAACCACTTGAAAATGTGAAATTACAAGTAAAACAAACTAAATGTCGTCAACAAATTGCTTTCCCCAGTTGATTAGAGCACCCATTTAGAAGGCAAAACAATAAGTTAAGCCCCTGAACTAATCCAGAATCGCTATTAAGCTCCCAGATTTGATTGATACATTTAAGCCCCTGAACTCTACCATCGAAGCAATTTAGCTCTTACTTTTATAGCCAACTTAATTGCTGTTAACTGCCACTCGGGGATTGACTGCCATTCGGGGACTACCTCTGTGGTGAAATATGGCCTTCTCATGCTTATGTGATAAGGGATTTGGTATTTGATTTGTCTATTGAATTAAAAAAAAAAAATCATTTAAGAATTTTTTTTTGTATTTTTTTGGTATAATTTTATATATTATTTAATAATTAACTCTTTTTATTTATAAATTTATTTAATTTATATATTAAAAATATAAGTTAAGAATGTAATAAATATATTCTTTTATAATAAATTTGTGTTAAAAAAGTTAACCTTTCATGTTAAAAAAAATAAAATTTAATTTTTTAACTGTATGATTAAATTCATTCATTTACCATGAACACTAAAAAGAAAAGAAAAGAAAAAAGTGATCCTATATCACTTTACGCTTCTTTTTTTTTTTTCTTTTCTTTCTCTTTTTTTGGGTGATATAGAAATAATTTTTTATATCATTTTTTGTATAATTTTTACATATTATTAAATAAATTAATATATTTAATATCACAAATTCTCAAATGAATAAAGGGTCTTTTTC